CTCTCGCACTCACACACACACACTCGCACTCCCACACACACTCGCTCCACACTCGCACTCCCTCTCTTACACACACACACACACACACTCCCTCACTCTCTCACCCACACACTCTCTCTCACACACACACTCCCTCTCACTCTTTCACCCACACTCTCTCTCACACACACACTCTCTCTCTCTCTCTCACACACACACTCTCTCTCTCTCTCTCACACACACACTCTCTCTCTCTCTCTCACACACACACTCTCTCTCTCTCTCTCACACACACACTCTCTCTCTCTCTCTCACACACACACTCTCTCTCTCTCTCTCACACACACACTCTCTCTCTCTCTCTCACACACACACTCTCTCTCTCTCTCTCACACACACACTCTCTCTCTCTCTCTCACACACACACTCTCTCTCTCTCTCTCACACACACACTCTCTCTCTCTCTCTCACACACACACTCTCTCTCTCTCTCTCACACACACACTCTCTCTCTCTCTCTCACACACACACTCTCTCTCTCTCTCTCACACACACACTCTCTCTCTCTCTCTCACACACACACTCTCTCTCTCTCTCTCACACACACACTCTCTCTCTCTCTCTCACACACACACTCTCTCTCTCTCTCTCACACACACACTCTCTCTCTCTCTCTCACACACACACTCTCTCTCTCTCTCTCACACACACACTCTCTCTCTCTCTCTCACACACACACTCTCTCTCTCTCTCTCACACACACACTCTCTCTCTCTCTCTCACACACACACTCTCTCTCTCTCACACACACACACACTCACTCTCTCGCACTCACACACACACACTCGCACTCCCACACACACTCGCACTCCCTCTCACACACACACACACTCCCTCTCACTCTTTCACCCACACTCTCTCTCACACACACACTCCCTCTCACTCTCACACACTCCCTCTCAGTCTCACACACTCCCTCACTCACTCTCACACACTCCCTCTCACACACACTCCCACTCGCACACACACACTCCCACATGTTCAATAAATGAACATTTATTAATAAGATGTTGTTGTTTATTAATGTTCACCTTTTGATTACTGCTGATGGCTCTAGTAATTTTTTGTCCGATTTTTAATTTACAACCTATTTTGGGTTCATTTTAAGCCAGCCATATAGAATTTTAATCAATAGTGGAGTTAAAAAAAGACCACCCAAGATTGGGTTAGACATTTAACCCAATCACTGAGTTTGTCCAGATTTCACACAGCGCTGGGTTGAATTTAACTCTGCATTTTATTTTTTTTGAGTGTGAAAAAGCAGTTTAACAAGCCAAAATAAAAAAAACATTCTACAAATGATTGTGTTAAAATACACTTAGAAATTTTATTAGCTTTAGTTTTTTGTCCATTTTCTATTAATTTTATTTAGTTTTAGCATTTTTATTTGATCTAAACAAGTGAGAAATAATATCTTGGCAACTAAGTGAAATAAAATAAGTGCGTTTCTATACATTTTATTTACTTAACATTCATTTTACTTGAAGTAATGAATGGTTTTAGTTCATGATAATAAATCTGCTCGGTCAGTGTATTCCAGCGTGCAGCACTACAGTACATACTCGAGTTATTAAAAACCCTCAGTACTCCAGGAATGATTGTTTTCTTCAAATGTCTGTCATTAAACCACATGTGATGATTCAGTGTCAGAAACCGTCTCAAGCTGGCTCTCGGGATCACAGCGAAATCATACAGTGGTTATTAGAGCTAACAACTCACCGTCTGACGGGTTTCTGACCACCGGACCCGTGAGGAAAGCACATCGAAAGAGCAAATTACTGAAACCTCAAAGTTTATTTCACTCATACAAAATCAAGAGAACGTTAAAAGCGAACAGACGAGAGAAGTCACGTGACTCTCTCCAGCTTCACAGCAAACATTAAAAGAGTCTAAAAGATATAAAACAAAGGGGAAGTCATCCATACAAATGTGCATCGTCCGGGGAAATGAACAGAGAGTGTCTGAAACAATTAAAGCGCTCTCAAACCAAATCCACGCATTCACATCCGATGAACGACCTGCAACAGAATGAGTTCAAAACTGCATGAAAGTGCCGCTAGACAGTTTAATCGCTGCAAGACAGAAGCTTTAATCGTAAAACTAGCTTAAAAAGGACAAAAACCAGAAACATGAGTCACAAAAGCAAAAGAGCAGAACTGTCCGCTCTGCGTTTCCCTTACAAAACAACTGAAGGAGCATCTGCTGCTAAAACCAACCAAAACATCTGCTGGACCTCCTCATATATGCTCTTAAAACGTGACCGAAGACGGAGAAGAACCAAAGGAAAGTGCAAGAATACACGGGATGGATCCACACGCTCTCGCTTCCGGGGCCGTTCATCCAAAGAAAAAGACGAGGAAAAGAAAGGCCGACTCAATAAAATAAGATTAAAAAACCTAGAAGGTGTGTGTGGTGGAGGATCTGTGGGAGAAGAGCAGGAGAGCGGCGCAGCTAGGAGTCGTAGTCCTCCTCGTCCTCGTCCTCGTGTTCGGTCCGGAGCGGCAGAGAACCGGCTGGGAGCAGAGCCATCAGAGACGCCTGCGGAGAGCCCGCTCTGAGACACACGCACGCACACACACACACACACACATTTATATGCAAATACTAAATAATACACTATGCCGTGACTTTTTGAGTGCAGGAATCTGACCCGTTTCATTAACGTATGACTCACATTAACGTATTAGTTTGTGTTAAAAATGTCTAATCCAAACGCATGGAAATCTGATATGCAATTCTAAAAAAAGTCTTAAATATCTGTTTTTGATTGCACTGATACAGAACTCTGACTGGATGGATCTTATTCAAAGCACATAATGTACAGTTAAACAGTGAGAAACCGCTCGGGTGGTTTGGGCTGTACCTGTGGAAGAAAGCTGCAGGCTGTGCTGTGTTTGTGCTGGTGTGAGACACGTCCTCGTCCTCCTCTCCGTCCGTCTCACTGTCCTCTGAATCATCCTGAACACAAAACAAAACACGTGTGTGAATGCAAACATATTCAGAGTGACATGACTTTCATTCAAGGCTTTTTGCAGCAAATGCACCGAGCAGGTTTTGCACGTTTTATGTTCACTTGCTTTGGAATATAAATCACAGTATGCGTCACATGATAAAAATTAGACATATAGCGGTGGCCAAAATCATCAGAACACTAGTATTCTCAGCAGCTAAAAATGGTTTTAAGTCTGTTAATTCTATCTTTTGCTGTAGTGTGTCAGGAGGAAATATCAGTTTTTGCCATTAACTGTAATAATACAGTGAGATATATGTTAGTGCTGCACACAGAGCTCTGATCTGATCATCATCAGTCTGTCTGGAGTCACATGAAGAAACAGAACACACTGAGACAGACTCAATCCAGAAGAACTGATGCTTCTAGAAACCTGCTGCGAAGCTCCTGAGAAACTCTGCTCAAGTGCACCGAGAGCAAAAGCTGCTTTAAACACAAAGGATGCTCTCACCAAATGATGATTTCATTTAGTTCATAGAAGTTAATTGATAAAGAACATCTATTTATGACAGCATCCTCATTTTACAGCATTTTTACACAAGTGCCTAAAACATTTAACAGCACTGTAGCTTTGCAGGAGGTTTCTTAAAGTGTCTTGGAGACGTTGCATTTTTAATCCAGTTTTGTGTGGAGGTAAAGATGGCATTGCATTGTGGGTCTCACACACTCGTTTACCTCTTGCTCCGATTCGGTGCCTGAGAGTTTCTTGTCTTTGCCTTTGGCTCCAGCACCGCCGTTCTTACGTCCTGAGCCGGGCTTACGACCTCTGAAACACACACACACACACACACACACACACGCGCACGCAGACACACACACACACTTCAGCTGTGAAACCACACACACACACACACACACACACACACGCGCACGCAGACACACACACACACTTCAGCTGTGAAACCACACACACACACACTCACTCACTCACTCACTCACTCACTCACTCACACTCATGCAACACACACTCACACTGCCGCACACTCACTCATACTCGCGCTCACGCATACTCGCGCTCACGCATACTCGCGCTCGCTCACTCATACTCGCACGCCCACACTCACTCATACTCACGCACACTCACGCTCACTCACTCACAATCATACTCACGCTCACTCACTCATACTCGCACGCTCACACACTCGTTTACCTCTTGCTCCGATTCGGTGCCTGAGAGTTTCTTGTCTTTGCCTTTGGCTCCAGCACCGCCGTTCTTACGTCCTGAGCCGGGCTTACGACCTCTGAAACACACACACACACACACACACACACACGCGCACGCAGACACACACACACACTTCAGCTGTGAAACCACACACACACACACACACACACACACACTCACTCACACTGCCGCACACTCACTCATACTCGCGCTCACGCATACTCGCGCTCGCTCACTCATACTCGCACGCCCACACTCACTCATACTCACGCACACTCACGCTCACTCACTCACAATCATACTCACGCTCACTCACTCATACTCGCATGCACACACTCACTCATACTCGCGCTCACGCATACTCGCGCTCGCTCACTCATACTCGCACGCCCACACTCACTCATACTCACGCACACTCACGCTCACTCACTCACAATCATACTCACGCTCACTCACTCATACTCGCATGCACACACTCACTCATACTCGCGCTCACTCACTCACTCTCACTCACGCTCACTCATACTCGCGCTCACGCTCGCTCACTCATACTCGCGCTCACGCACTCATACTCGCACGCACACACTCACTCTCACTCACGCTCACTCATACTCGCGCTCACGCTCGCTCACTCATACTCATTCTCACGCACACTCACGCTCACTCACTCACAATCATACTCGCGCTCGCTCACTCACACTCACTCTCGCTCACTCATACTCACATGCACACACTCACTCATACTCACGCACACTCACGCTCACTCACTCACAATCATACTCGCGCTCGCTCACTCATACCCGCGCGCTCGCTCACTCACTCATACTCACGCTCGCTCACTCATACTCACATGCACACACTCACTCATAACGCTCACTCATACTCGCGCTCACGCTCGCTCACTCATACTCGCGCTCGCGCACTCATACTCATTCTCACGCACACTCACGCTCACTCACTCACTCACAATCATACTCGCGCTCGCTCACTCATACTCACGCTCGCTCACTCATACTCACATGCACACACTCACTCATACTCACGCACACTCACGCTCACTCACTCACAATCATACTCGCGCTCGCTCACTCATACTCACGCTCGCTCACTCATACTCACATGCACACACTCACTCATACTCACGCACACTCACGCTCACTCACTCACAATCATACTCGCGCTCGCTCACTCATACTCACGCTCGCTCACTCATACTCACATGCACACACTCACTCATACTCACGCACACTCACGCTCACTCACTCACAATCATACTCGCGCTCGCTCACTCATACTCACGCTCGCTCACTCATACTCACATGCACACACTCACTCATACTCACGCACACTCACGCTCACTCACTCACAATCATACTCGCGCTCACTCACTCATACTCGCATGCACACACTGACTCATACTCGTGCTCACTCACTCACACTCGCACGCACACACTCGCTCACTCATACTCGCACGCACACACTCGCTCACTCATACTCGCACGCACACACTCGCTCACTCATACTCGCACGCACACACTCGCTCACTCATACTCGCACGCACACACTCGCTCACTCATACTCGCACGCACACACTCGCTCACTCATACTCGCACGCACACACTCGCTCACTCATACTCGCACGCACACACTCGCTCACTCATACTCGCACGCACACACTCGCTCACTCATACTCGCACGCACACACTCGCTCACTCATACTCGCACGCACACACTCGCTCACTCATACTCGCACGCACACACTCACTCACTCATACTCACGCTCACTCATACTCGCACTCACGCTCACTCACACTCAATCATACTCACGCTCGCTCAATCATACTCGCACGCACACGCTCACTCATACTCGCGCTCACTCACTCATACTCACGCACTCACGCTCACTCACTCACAATCATACTCGCGCTCACTCAATCACTCACAATCATACTCGCGCTCACTCACTCATACTCGCGCTCACTCACTCATACTCGCTCTCGCTCACTCTCACGCTCGCTCACTCTCACGCTCACGCTCGCTCACTCTCTCATTCTCGCGCTCGCTCACTCTCTCATTCTCGCGCTCGCTCACTCACGCTCGCTCACTCTCTCATTCTCGCTGACGCACGCACGCTCACTCACTCACTCATACACGCTCACTCACTTACCCTCACGCACACTTACTCACTTACACTCCCTCACGCACACTCACGCTCGCTCACTCATACTCGCGCTCGCTCACTCATACTCGCGCTCACTCACTCATACTCGCGCTCACTCACTCATACTCGCGCTCACGCTCGCTCGCTCACTCATACTCGCGCTCTCACTCACTCGCGCTCACGCTCGCTCACTCACTCATACCCGCGCGCACGCTCGCTCACTCACTCATACTCACGCTCGCTCACTCTCATACTCGCGCGCACGCTCGCTCACTCACTCATACTCGCGCTCGCTCACTCTCATACTCACGCGCACGCTCGCTCACTCACTCATACTCGCGCTCGCTCACTCACTCATACTCGCTCGCTCACTCATACTCATACTCGCGCTCACTCACTCATACTCGCGCTCACGCTCGCTCACTCACTCACGCGCTCACTCATACTCGCGCTCTCATACTCGCGCTCACGCACTCGCGCTCGCTCACTCTCTCATTCTTGCGCTCGCTCACTCTCTCATTCTCGCGCTCGCTCACTCTCTCATTCTCGCGCTCGCTCACTCTCTCATTCTCGCGCTCGCTCACTCTCTCATTCTCGCGCTCGCTCACTCTCTCATTCTCGCGCTCGCTCACTCTCTCATTCTCGCGCTCGCGCTCACTCACTCACTCATACTCGCGCTCGCTCGCTCACTCACTCACTCACTAATACTCGCGCTCACTCACTCATACTCGCGCTCGCTCACTCATACTCGTGCTCGCTCACTCATACTCGTGCTCGCTCACTCATACTCGCTCACTCACTCATACTCGCGCTCACGCTCGCTCACTCACTCACGCGCTCACTCACTCACGCGCTCACTCATACTCGCGCTCTCATACTCGCGCTCACGCACTCGCGCTCGCTCACTCTCTCATTCTTGCGCTCGCTCACTCTCTCATTCTCGCGCTCACGCTCGCTCACTCTCACGCTCGCTCACTCTCTCATTCTCGCTCACGCACGCACGCTCACTCGCACGCGCTCACGCACCCTCACGCACGCACGCTCACTCACTTACACTCGCTCACTCACCCTCACGCACACTTACTCACTTACACTCGCTCACTCACCCTCACGCACACTCACTTACACTCGCTCACTCACCCTCACGCACACTTACTCACTTACACTCGCTCACTCACCCTCACGCACACTTACTCACTCAAAGTCGCTCACGCACGCTCACTCATGCACACTCGCGCACTCATACTCACGATCACACTCACGATCACTCACTCAGCAACACTCGCACACACTCATGTGCACTTACCCTCACGCACTCGCTCATACTCACTCACGCTGTCACGCACACTCTCACCGCACACTCACACACACTCCTGACCTGCGCGGGACCTTCTCTCCCTCCGTGTGGTTCTCCTCTCCCTCGCCCTGCATGTCAGGAACCGCTGCCACCAGATCCTTGAGGAAGTCAAACTGCTGTTCCAGCTCAATGCACTGCTTCCTACACACACACACACACGCATGAGGAACTGGGCCAGTGAGCGGCTGGAACGACACACAGATGACGGCCGTGACTCACAGGTGTGAGGTGGTCATGGTTTTGGCATTGCGTGACTGTGTGACGTGACACGCTTTGGTCAGGAGAGACTCCAGGAACAGCTCCAGAGCACGAGCTCAGACCACGGTCAAGGAAATATGAGACACAGAGAACACACCAACAGACACATTTACATTCATGCAGCCGACAGACGCTTCACTGCGCTGAAATCTGCACAGATCAAGCAGTGTTTAAACAGCTCCGAACAAATATGTGTCTGGATTCTGATGTGAGAGACAACAGCAGATGCACTTTTTCACTGGAGGAAGAGTTATTATGGAGTATGGACTGCTCATGCTCAGGCCAAACCGGTTTAGGGTGAGTGTGTTTCTTCATCAGGTTTGTAGAAATGCAGCTCTGCATCAGTGTCTCACTGCAAGTGAATGGGTGCCGTCAGAATGAGAGTCCAAACGATGCTGGATTTGCTTCAGCTTTAGTCTTCTCCAGATGTTAACTGATGGACTGGAGTGCTGTGGATTATTGTGATGTTTTTATCAGCTGTTTGGACTCTCATTCTGACGGCATCCATTCACTGCAGAGCATCCATTGCTGAGACACTGATGCAGTGCTGCATTTCTACAAACCTAAAAATACACAGGACGACATGTTGTGGAAGCAAAATAGCCCAAACACGAGACAAACAGCGACAGTAAAAGGATACAGATGATGACAGGGACTGCGGCGGCGACTTTGCCGATTTCTTCATCCGTCTGCATGATCTTCTTAATTCTGGCCTGCACAAGCAAACACACAGAGTGTCCAGTACTCAGATCTCTACAGGAGAAGAGACAGCCGCGGGGATGCTGGAGAGGCCGTCTCCACCCAGATGTCAACACAGGAGCACACGTGTGAGTCACAGCAAACACAGTCGGCTAATGCTGCTAGACACACCAGCGCGGGCCAGCTAGCATTCATGCTAGCCCGAGGAGCAGCTCTTCACAGCAGCCCGCACCGAGCCGTGTGTGTGTGTGTGTGTGTGTGTGAGTGTGTGTGTGTGTGCGCGGGGCTCACCGGGGGGAATCTGGCGTTGTATTTCTTCTTTTTGCTCGGCATCTCGGTTCCGTCGCAGTCTGCCGTCAGACTCGGTACATGTGCAGCGGTCGCCGGCCGCGCGGGTTTGCGGGGTTTATCGGCGTTTTACGGCGCTTTTGTGCTTCCGGGTGCTTAACTAAAGTTACAAAGTCGGACACCGAAACTTACCATAAAAACACGTTTTTATAATAGGATTTAGACATAGATGAGAAATGATTGTTTTTATTGCCCTCGAACACCAGCGCGTCACACTCCATCACGGGAGGCGGCGGCCGAGAAGCAGTAGAAGAAGAAGAAGCGGAACCGGAAGTGTTGAGGCGGAGGCGGGTGAGAGCCGCAGTGACTCAGCAGCAGAGTGAATGCTGCACTTTTGACAGGTTTAGCGCGAGTGAGCAGTAGATAATATACTCTGAAAGAGAGACCCAGCAGACTTGTGTGTGTGTGTGTGTGTGTGAGAGAGAGAGAGAGAGAGAGA